TAGATTGGATTTTTAGCAAGATCTTATTCCGTAGATAAAACAAAAACCTTAGTTCAATTTTACATAAAAAACACTTCAAACACATATCAAAATGTTTATTGCATACAATGCATATTACATTCAGGTTTTTGTGTAATAAAGTGGGGTGGAGAAGGTCATTAGATTGGGGTTCCTTTGAGAGTCAGCCTATTCATTAAATCAGAATTTGTCCAATATTCAGTGATGGAAATTAGTGGGAATGGTAGATGCCCCTCTGCCTTCTAACTTGTGGAATGCTGGTTAGACCATTTCATCAGTGTATGGTCAATTAGCTGTCCTAATACCAGCTCTGCAGTGATGCTTGCATAGTGGTAATGTTGTATAAAGGACGGTAGAGCCTCCTGACCATCAAGCAACCGAATATAGACAGAAGGGAAATATTTGTAAGCTGTGACTTTGGCTCTGTGTCATGTAATATCTCACTTCTAGAGCTACATCTTATTCTTGGGAACATCTGTTCTTGCACAATTTTCAGTTTCTTGCAGGTCTAATGCTGGCCAAACACATGGCCAGGTTGCCTAGTCTATTTTGATAGTTTTGCGATCGCATTGCCATTTGTAATGTCAGCATAAGTGAGCTATTACTTTTGTTACATCATTTTACTTCTGTTACTGCAATGCATAGTTCCAATGTTTTCTAAAGCTAGTTCTGCCTTTTCCACCCTGCATACCCCTACACCCACTACCAGTGGCGTAACTAGTGACCTCAGGGCCCCATGCAAGAATCCATGAAGGCCCCCCCCCCCCCACCTCCTGTCCTGGGCCCCCTCCAAGTGGCCGAACTCCAGGGCCCGGTCGCGGCCGCGACCTCTGCGACCCTGGTAGTTCGCCACTGCCCACTACTTTATATAATTTTTTGGAATTACAAATGTATACAAGCTACCTTGTCTAATGGTTTGCTGTTATTCCAGTGAGAATAAGTTGGTAGAAGCATTTGTATACTGGACTCTGTTTTATGTCTTTATTTTTTTTTTATTTAGTGCTCAGCAATGTATATTAATGTCTAGGGTAATAATTAAGTTCAAAAGGGGAAAGTCCTACAGTCACACCCAATTAAACAATGCAAAAAACAGAAACAACAGCTCCTAAGCAAATCGGAGGGCTGCAAGTCAAGGAGGACTTTAAGGCAATTATAGGACCTTCAAAGTCAATTGTTAAATGTATAAAAATATTATGTTTTATTTAAACCATTTAAATACATGGGATAGAAAAACATAAACTTGCATATTGGTGCACAGCCTAAACTTAGTCAGCATAAACATTGCATACTCATATATAGAGATGATGGAAAGTTGTGGTCAAAAAAGGTCCATATGGGGAATCAAAAGATGGTCACTGTTATAGGAAATCCTCTACGCGTTTTCGCCACAGCCGTGGCTTCCTCGGAGGAACACATTCCAATGATGTGAATAGTTGTGACCATATATTAATATAGCGACAATTGTTCTCAAAATGGAGCAAACAGATGAGGCTGCAGGGACCCGAAACTGTGCTGCTCTTTCTGAGAAGGTACTACTTATATATGCAGTCCTATATCCGTTGCTCAGATTTCACCTGCGGCCCCCTAGGAGGTACCTGAGTTAGTGGGTTTTGGGTCCTGCTCTGTTCTGGTTTTTGGACTAAGGGGAAAGTCCATAATATTGCACATGACCTAACTTTCTATGCAAACACAAAGCAGAAGCATGATTGTTCCACATCGCACTCACTGTGTTCTGCTACTGAGCACTCCTTTGGTATGCTCCATAGTAGCTCCATTTTCCTTCGCCACGGTATAAAGGTCACTTTGCTCTGATTGCCTACACACACACACAGAACCATCCCTCCTTTGCAAAGTGGCATGTTTAATTTATAGTCTCCCCTTGTGAAAAAAATGTTTTCTACATCCATTTATTAGAGCCCTTTTGACCTCATTGTTCCTAAGACTGTAGACAATGGGGTTCAGAAAAGGAGTCGCCACATTATAGATAACTGATACTAGTTTGTCACGCTCCATTGAGTAACTGGACCTGGGACGGACATAGTTGAAACATCCAGTTCCATAGAACATGGTAACAATAATAAGATGAGATACACAGGTAGAAAACATTTTTTGTCTCCCTACATTAGATGTGTTTTTTAAAATAGTAACAACTATGTAGAAATAAGAGATAAGGATAAACACAAGTGGTCCAAGTCCTACAAAAACTGCACTCACTGCAAAGAGTATAACTTCGTTTAGATAGGTATCGATACATGATAGCTTTAGCAAGGGTGGAATATCACAGAACATGTGGTTAATTTCATTGTCACAGAAAGGCAGGCGTATGATCAGGGTGGTGTGGATCATTGAGTTCAATAGGCTACACAGTATTCCACCACAGAGCAGTTTGTAACAGACTCCTCTCTTCATAATAAAGGTATAGTGTAATGGACGGCAGATCGCTGCATACCGATCATAAGCCATGATAGCTAAAAGAAAGCACTCTGCCCCCTCTAAGAAGATCACAGTATGCAGCTGTACAACGCAAGCACTAAATTGCAAATGGTTGTGATGTGATATCAAAATAACTAACATTAGTGGCACCGTGGCAGAAATATAGCAGATGTCAATCATAGAAAGGTGGCCTAAGAAAAAGTACATTGGGCTTTGTAAACTAGAGTCCAGCTTTGTTACAATCATTATTAATAGATTGCCAGATGAAGCCATTACATAGATATGAAACAATAACATAAAAAGTAATAGGCGTTTTTCAGACATTTCGGGAAACCCCAAAATAATCACTTCCAAAATTATACTTGTATTTGATTTTAACATTTTCTATTCTACTTGGCTTTCTGCAGAGAAAAATTATATTGTAGACTGTTAAAAAAACAAAAAGAAAATTGAGTTAGTAGACAGTGGAAATGAGTCAAGCGGCAGTTGAGAAAGCTCTACATGCACTACACTATGAAAATATTAGAGCAAATGCAATACACACTTTAGGTCAGCATTGCACAATTCTTCTGATTAAAGTCTGTAAAAGGTAATAAAAAAGCCCAGAAAAAAATAATCTACGTGTAGAACTTTTGTATAGCATTAAGGGCCCCTTCACATATGTGTGTTGCATTAATGTGCAGTAAAATGCATGTTTTACTATGCATTATGATGTACGGTAAGGTGTGTCCCACTGACCGAATGTTCCAGTGCCAATAATTAGGAATGGCACCCCAACACATTGTTAGAAGTGGGCAATGCACCTATATTAAAAAGTCCTCCCCAATTTTTAGTGCGTCAAGCTGCACTACCAGCCTATTCAGTATTAGGACCCATTCACACCAGCCGTTGCACTACATCGCTGATGTGCCAATCCCGGCAAATCGAACTGTTTAATTTTTTTTTTACTTTATTGAAATGTCCCAAGTGACATACTGTATTTCATGAAGTTCTATGGCCAGAGCATGGTGCAAGGCGGTTGTACCAAGTCACATCCCGCTGCACTAAAAAGAAGTACTAAAAAGAAGTACTGTATGCAGTATTTTTTTAAGTGCACACTCAGGGCCGGATTTACTCTCCCTGCCGCCCCAAGGCCAGGTTCCACAATACGCCCCCTCCCCATCAATTGAGAATGGCAACCAGATGGCAGGGTGGCGGGGGTTAGTTTCAATTTTTTTTTACTGTTTCTTTATTTTTATCACTTTTAATTTTTTTTAATTTTTGATTTATTTAATTATTTTTTAATCAATTTAATTATTTTTAGATTTTTATTTATCTTTTTACTTTCTTATAATTTACTTTTTTATAGTTTTTATCTTATTATTGTTTATTTTTTATTATTATTTTCTTATTTTTTACTTTTTAATCACCTTTTAATTTTTTTATTTCATTATGTGATAATATTATTTTTACATTTTTATTTAAAAAATGTTTTAAATCTATTTAATTTTTTTCCCCACCTAACTTTATTGCTATCACACAGGAGATAACAAGCCCCTGTGTGATAGCAAGGTAGACGGCTACTTCCTCCGGCGTCAATCCACATTAACAGGACGCCGGTGGATTCATACCTCGCGCCCTATATCTGACAGCTGGGGAGAGGAGTTGCGGCCCGGCGCTCCGTGATTGGCTGCCGCCCCTCTAAGCTCTGCCGCCGGGCCTCTGTGGCCTTGTGGGAAATCCGGGCCTGTGCACACTAACGCAATGCTATGGAGTGAAATGTGCCCATCAGTGACAAGGCAAATTGCCTTGTCTTGTTTTGGGGCTGCGCAGAAAAAAAGGCCAGTGCAGCCCCAAAACATCTGGTGGAAATGTGCCATAAATCAGCTGGCTCACCACAGCATGCCTCTGCAGATCAGTATCATGTGGTAGAAAAGTCACTCGCACTCCAATGAGAATTTCAGTCAATCCTTTTGTCAAAAAAGAACATTGACTGAAATTCTAATTGGAGAGCGAGTGACTTTTCTACCACATGATTGCAAATACACTAACACAACACATAGGAGGTTATTCACAAAAGGGTGAAGAGTTTAGAGAAGAGTCTAGGACAACATAGCTGAACCGGAAAGTGAGCTGAATTGGAGAAATCAGCTTTTTTCGCACTCCAATGAGAATGTCAGTTAATGTTCTTTATTGTCAATAAAAAACATTGATTGACATTCTCATTGAAGTGACTTTTCTACCACATGATACTGATCTGCAGAGGCATCTGCTGTCATCTCAGCACCCACCCATTATCTTGGGTTATATCCAGTCAGGAGTGTGATGGGATCTACTTGAATGTATTTGTAATAACACAATGCAGTACTGTGCATTAGGTATTCTGTGGTGAGCCAGCTGATTTAGGGCACATTCCCAGCAGATGCATTGGGGCTGCGCTGACCTTTTTTTTCAGTGGTCATAAGGTGTGAATGGACCTTAGATAAAATCATGTTGGGTTTGTGCGGACAGAAAGAAGCACGTCGGCAATATTTTCACAGGTTTACAATTGTTAACATTCTAAATGACATTGTACTTGCATTCAAGGTAAACACAAATGTTATCTAGAACATCCAACATTGTGACTTAAGGATTATTGCAGAAAGTTTTTTTTTCTAAATAATGTATTACATTTTATTATTTTATGGGGGTGGTTCTGGATCTGGTCAGTGGAGCCCTGATCCAGCCCTCTCATGTAGATACGCAGCAACTGATCACTTCTAAAGGCCTGTTCACACCAGTAAATTTTAACTGTACTAAAACGCAGGTTCTCAGCATCTCACAAGTATAGAGAAAATAGGTTCCATTATTATCCACGCTGTATAAAGCTCGGAGTGTGGTGCATTTTTGAAAGATCTTGCTTGCTGCATGTTTTGTGCGTTTTTGGAAAAATGTGTGTTATATTATAGTTAGCGGTAACGCACTAAAAATACACTAAAAGCACTACACGCATTTTACTAGGGTGCTTTTAGTCACAAAACCATAAATTCAGGGAGGAGATTGAAAAAAAAGGCAGGAAAATTCATCTTATACACATGCTAAATGCCCTGTGTTGCATTAAATTTTAATAGACTGTATTAAAAACACATTGGAGGGACATTTGATTGCAATTAGTTGCAAATCAGGCTGCCTTTGGTTCAGCAAAGTCTCTATGACAGGTTTCCAGTCCTGTGCAACTATTTTCCTGAGCAGCCAAGTTTTCAAAATTCTGAGACAGATTTATTACTGCAGATGTGACAGATTTTCACTCCAAAGAGACGCATAATTAAGAAATGGTTGGGGTGCAGAAGGAGTTCGAACCTCCGGCAGGCTACCACTGCTGTTCGGTCTATTCTCATAGATGCCGAACAGCAGTGAGTAAATAGTCGAATGCCGCTCAGTGGCATTCGGCTCGGCTGTAGCAGAATAGCTAAATAGTTAAAAAAGTAGAAAAAAAACAATAGAAAACGATTGTGCAGAGCAAGCAGTGCAGTGACAGCTAGCTCTGCCCAACTGTTTTCTATTGGCCAGGCGGTTCTGCTGCCGTAAAAAAAAAAAAAAAATTTTCGCCATAGGAATGCATTGCTAGATTCCTATGGACGATTTCAATTTGCAATAGCCAATAGCAAACTAGCTAAGCGAAGGATCAGCCGAAGCTACGGCTAGATCCTTCGGCTGCTTCGTGAATAGACCCCTTTGTTTTACAAATCTCAACGCCAATAATCAGGGAGGCAGAAAAAGAACCAATGTGACTTTAATAAGACCTAATAGACAGTAATATCTATAAGAGAGACACAGGATGGATTTGGATTATGTTATAATGGGAAGTGAACAACTAATTATCTTTGATCTTTTAATGATGAATCCTCCACTTGGTGAAAGATTTGCTCTTTTTCAGTAGGATGCCCTCCCTATCCTTGAAATAACCACTACTGACATCTAGATTGGGTTCCTTCCCTGGTGGAGTCCCTGGGACCTTCTAAGGTCTCAAAATGACACCGCGTAGTTGTGAACACAGAATCCTCAAATTATGTTTTCATGACCAAGTTGAATTAAAGTGACATTTAAGTCATGCTGCTTTAAGGACTTACCTTAAATGATGCCTCTTGATCCGATGATCTTCTTCCTTCCACTTGTATTCAGCAATCCCTCCAGCGCTGGTGCCGGTCTCTGATGCAGCGCTGACTGCTGTCTCTTCCTGTCCCACGGTGTCTGCTCGATGTGCACGCTCCTGGCTGTGTGCAATCACTTACCTTGTGTCTCTCCTCTTCTCCCTGCCAAAGATCTCTACTGTGCATGCGCCCGCCCCATCATCCTCCATGGCCAGTCGAGAAGCTTCAGATCTTCAGACGGGAGCGAGTGGGGGGAGACACAGGTACGTTTTTACCTTTTTTGGTAACTTTTTAATTTTTTAAAATGTTTTTGCATATATCTACTGCTTGCTAGCAGTAGATATATGCAAAAACAATGGAGGGTTTAATTCTACTTTAATGAGTAGCTATTATATAGTGGCTGTACATTATGGATATCCACATATCCCTGAAGAAGTGAATTTATTCACGAAATGCGTTGAATCACATTTGGACTCCCCAATTATTGCCGTTGAGATTTGCAGAACATTTTTTGTTATTAATTATGTGAGTGGGGAGGTGATGGTGGGATGAAAAAAATGAAATGTACAGCTTATTATGATTTTAATGATAAAATGAGATAAGTTGATAAAAAAACATTTATTTGCCTATAATAGTATCACTATTGCCTAGCAATAGTGATATGGCACATCTAGTTATTTATCAAAACTGGAGCAGACAGAATCTGGAGCAGTTGTCCATGGCAAGCAATCAGCTGCTCTCTTCAGTTTGTTCAGTTAAGATTAAGAAAATGAAAGAGAGAAGCTGATTGCTTGCCATGCACAGCTGCTCCAGATTTTGTCTGCACCAGTTTTGACAAATTCCCCTCATTATGTATTCGCCACTTTTTAAAAAAATTCGAAAAAGATGAACACAATTTTATATTATGGATTAAGAGAATAATATAAATGAAAGAGTAAGGGGACAATTACAAATACTAATAATAACAAAATGTAAAAGATCAGCATTGCGCTTATATTGGTGATGATAAAACTGTTTATCAGGTTTTGTGATTTTCAAAATCTACCTAACACCTCCAGTTTGCCTTAAAAAGTAATGATTTAGTATAATTACTATTATTTAAGATAAAAAGCACAGGCACTGCAAATATTTAATTTTATTGAACCATTTCTTACCATTTGTATCCAGATTCCTGAGAGGCAAATTACTATATTTTGAAGACAGTATAAAATGAGATGTAAAAGAAATAATGCTCCTCGAGGAACTAAGCTCATATATTAAGTATATGTCTAT